GCAGCAATGAACTTAGCTGGACGCGACGTGCTTCATCGCGAGACGGGTACGAGTGGCGATGTTCAAAAAAGGGTTGCGATGGAATGGCTTCAATGCGCCGGAATTCACCGGTGCGCACACACAGGGTATCGAAAATACATGGTGGGGAATCAAGCGAGGTTTGCCCCAAACAGGAACATCCAAAGGACTTTTCGATGGCTACCTACAAGAATATATGTGGCGTCAGCACTACGGAAACGATCCCTTTGGAAACATTATCGAACATATCGCCCAACTTTGTGAAGTCCAGAAAGACTAGATACAAAGGTTTCTTTGCATCGCTGTATGCACCGGCCTTCACGAACAATTTTCATCACTAGGACACGAAAGGATAATGAAAGAATCAACCAAAACCACAAGAACAGGTAAGACACAACATTTATAAAAACTTTGCATTGACAAACTTCAAAGCCTGACCGTAGACTTAACGTTATTTTACGGCCAATTTTACGCTTTCAAAGCGAAACTGAACATATAGTTATATTTCAAATTTAAAAACCTCTAGAAAATTACTTGAGTTTTCCGTTTTGCAAAGCCAAAACGCGCCAAATTTACCCTGTTTCAAAAAAGACTTAGGAAAAAAATCCAAATTTTGAAAACAAAGACTACTAGTCTCTGTGGAGTTCTACTGTTATCGCTATTGTTTTAATTGAACAAAGACTGAATGCATAATTAATGTATGGGGTTATATGGTACTCTTGCCATAATTACTGTTACAACACGAATTTAATAAAAAAATAAATTATATAACTGTAATTAAGCCCTTTACTTCCAAGAGTGTTCTGTCAAAATTGAGAAGAAATCTCTTAATTTTAACTTGTATTGCAGTATCAACAAAAACAAACAGCAGAGCATGAAGATGCTGCTTGACAGCTTACATTTGACTTCCAACACACAAGAGTTTTAGCAAAAGAAGTTACAACCCCATTAAATAAAGTCAAAGCCTGACTCAGGGAGGAAAGGATGAAACATCAGTTGTATCATCATCCCAAATTAAATGACTCCTTTCAAGACTACGGTATTTTTTGACTGATAGTATTTATTGCAATGAACATAACCTAAGTTATTGCATTTCATGAAAAAGAATCAACAGATTTTATTCACAACTGATTTGTGTCAAACCAAATTTAATGATTCACTAGGACTACTTTAAATGAATAGCTATAATTGAGGATAGTTTTTATGAAGTTGTCAAGAAAATAAAAAGAAATTTCATCCTAATATTACTACATGTTGGTGTTAATATATGATAGCAAATAATTAACATGTAAACCAGAGTTAAGCATGTAAATAAATTTCTTTGACTACTTAATTTGTAGTTGGGAATTAATGCATGTATTTATTTGATAGTAGTTGCCTCAAAGTTTTCTTAAAATTCCCAGTAATTCTTAAACACTCCTAGAAGTTCCTAAAAATTCTTAGGAATTTCTGGCATGTTTTTAGATTTACAGTATTTCAGGGAAGTCATTGGTGCTCTGAGTTGGAATTCCAAGTGCTGTTGGCTATAAACATGGAATTTTTGCGATTGTCTAGGTTTTTTGGGGAATTCCCAGTCCAAATTTACTGTGAAAATTCACACCTGTTATTCCCAGTAATTCTTAAGAATTCCAAGATCCATTTCACAAGGGCCTGAGCAGCCTCATGGAGATTGTGCTTGACTCCAGATCAAGCAGTCACTGTTTCAGCCCTGGCTGGGGACATTGTGTTGTGTTCTTGGGCATTGGACACTTTACTACAATTTAGTAATAATACTTAGTTCTTATTAACCAAGCGGGAGGTCTGTATGGGAAAATCTTGACAGAGGTCACCAGTACAGACCTCACCGCGTTCAGTCTGTACCAGGGACTGAGGTCAAGATTCTCCCGTACAGACCGACCTAGCTCGGTTAATAAGGTGTTTACTATGTGGCTTTGTTTTATATGCCAAATTTTTATATTCTTTGTACCTTTTTTTTCTAGACCGGTCTAGATGCCGGTCTAGATGGGAAAATCTAGACCGCTTTCAGTATTGATTTCAGCCAATCAAATTCGTGAATTCGGTAGTTCCCAGTCCTTATGAGACACAGCCATATAATAAGTTTGAGTTTGAAATTTGTTGTTTATTTAGTTCAATAATAGTGATAAAAAATATTAATTACAATTAAAATACTAAGTCCCCCACAAGGTTAAGGCCTCAAACCATGGCAACTACCGTATTCCCAATTCCAAGATCGTGGAACAAAATATGTAGTTAATAATAAATGAAAATGTGTTGTACAGTGCGAAGCAAAAAGACAAACAAAAATATTGACATCAACATGGGTACAGAGTTAAGACATTAACCATTCAACATTAAGGACCAATTATTGTATAAGATCTTACATTATTCTGGTCTAAAACAATCCTTAGGTGATCAAAATATGAGGCCCTTAGTCAACATATGAGTATATTGAGAGTTGCACTTTGTTTGATTTCATCAGGGAATTCATTCCAAATAACGTATGAAAAAGTAAATCCAAAATTGGATCTTCCAGGAATGCAGTTTGACTAAAAGGAAAAATGCTGATATTTGCTGCCTTCTCCTGGCTGTCTTTGGCACAAATAGCAGATTTTGATGCTTAGAAATTTTATGGCATAGCTTAGCCTGTTAACCCTTTGGCTGGCAAGATCTGATTGTTAATTGTCCCCTCTAGCAGCCACACATTTCCTTCTAAATTAGTTAGGAGAATTTGGTGTTAGATGAAGATGATAACTTCTACCTGATAGGTTTGAGTATTCTCATTACCTGTTCGCTGGATAAAGTAGGGATATTAAAGATAATTTGGTTATATCAACTAAGTTAAAATTGTAAATTGGCCACCTTAACGAGTTTAAAAGCTCATGTTTCAAGCGTTAGCCCTTCGTCAGAACTCAAATCATCAGCTTTTTTACTCGTTACAGTGGCCAATATACAATTCAACTCAGTTGATATAACCAATTTACCTTGTTACCCCCCACCGACACAGCACCACAGTTTCTTTAGAAACTTTCAGCCTTTATTCATATTATAGGAAGAAGTTACCTGTCAGTCACTTCTGGTTGTTAAAGAGTAATTGAATAGGTCATAAATGCTACACCATACAAGAGATATAGGGTCAACTGCTGCCTGTGAACTAGAGGTAATCTAACCATGTTGAAACAAGGTTGTCTATTTAAGCTGGCAGCCATTGCATTTCTCCTTGAATTCATCTGCTGGCAAATGAGATGAGCCTCCCTCAAAAACAAGGAAAATTTGAATTTTCCTTTAAGTTAGCAGTTTCTGTTTCTTAAAAATAAAATAAACTTTCTATTACAATTTCCACTGGACTTTGTTCTTTAGCTTCCAACTTGAATAACTGATATTTTCTGCCACAGATATTGATGACTGGTACATGATGGTTCAATTTGTTGTTGGATCCCATCCTTGGTTCAATGGTTTTTCTCCAGGCCCTCCAGTTTTCCTTTCCCCACAAAAACCAACATTACAAGGTTTTCATTCAAGCAGGAAACTGTGGACTTAAGAAGAGCCACCACATGGAATAACCACTGCTAATGCCATTATTATAATTATTGTTACTTTTGTTATTTAACTCCCACTACACACTACAAGTTTTAAAATTAATTGAAAACCAAAACTACTACATAATGGCTCATTGGTACAGCATTGAAGCACAAAATCCAAGGGTCTTAGGTTCAATTCCTCATGGGAAATCATAATTTCTCCTTTGTTCCATGCTTGTGACAAGAGGAAAAACTTCTCGCTCTATTTCTTTACCCAGCTCAAAACTTACCATCTTTCTTATTCTGTCTACAAAACTACTTTATCAGTCTTTGAAAATAACATAAACTGTTAATAAATTATAATAAGTAATAACTTCTGATGTAGTTTTTCAGAAATGAGCCCCAGAATGGCTTTTCAAGAGTTAAAGTAGACAGCATGAATGCTAAGATGAAACAAGTATATGGAAAAATGATCAAGAAGAGAGGACTACGAAGAACAGGTTTGAAAATATACATTGATGTGGGGGTGGGGGAGGGTAATACGACTCTGGTGT